TACGCGATCAATTATTTATTCTTTGGTTTTTATTTTCTTTGTATTTTGTTTTTGTTTTTTTTTTTTATAATGAAACAATTTCATTTAAGCATTTCAGTCATTTGTTGGTGTCGCTCCTTTCAACTAACTAAATTAATGTCGAGCAATCAAGTATTTTGTTTTTTGTTGGACTTACGGCATTCCATTCATAGCTATGCATAAATAAATAAATAAATAAATATATATATATATATATATATATATATATTTAAAACGTTTTTGCAAACGAACTGAAAAACTGAAAATTCCCATAGCCACTCGAACGTTTAAACTCAAGAGCTGATGCACACAACTTTTCCAATTAATCAATTGAACGCATTTTATGGGCTCGATGCTACTCAGCGTAAATAAATATTTATGCTGTCAGAGAGGGCAGATACACGCATGTTGTCGCACAACACATCGAACATTATTAATTAGTTTAATGGACATTCTAATAGCGACTTTGATAGACTGCCTGCCAGAGATGGCATACGACTGCACTTAAATCATTAACCTTGCTTCAACATGGCATGCCTCACTGCAGATAGACCGGCAAAATGATTTCAATATACGATATCTATACAAACTGTAAACACAATTGCAAAGTGTTGGCCTTTATGGACGGGCGGTGTCAGTGCAATTTGGCTGAAACGAAATCAATTTATTTGCCATTTCGTTGTTAACAAAACGCTAAGCTCCCAACTTAATTATGACTGACAGGTATTTGCAATTAAATCATAAATAAACATGCGGCTTTTGAATAAAAGTTATGTAGATGCGCACATCCAGAAATGTTGTTAAATGTGTGTGTACACTTTTCCATGAAACCAACTAAATTTCAGTTGGAAATGTCACAATTTGTTTAATTATTATATATTATATAATAATTAATTATTATATAATATATAATATATAATATATAATATATAATAATTAATTATATATATATATATATATATATATATATTGAAAAGTTGCTATAATTTGACCTGTTTTAGTGTGAACTACACTTTGAGAATTTGCTTTTTTCTGCTTGTGGCATAAACACACAAGAGTAGACTTTTCTGTTGGTGGCTTTGTCAGTTTTTTTTTCACATTGCTTATAATTCTCAATTAGTTATAGCTTTGAAGAGGATACAAGGGCTTGCTTAAAATTCCTGACACTTCTGTTGCTTATAACTTGTTCGTTGTTATAAACAAAATTAAATATTTAAAATGTACATTTCTATAATATATGCCAGAGCTATTAATGTTGACAGAAATTTGCAGTTACAAATTCCAAATTTTCGATAATTCAATTTGACATGTGAATATTTGCATCTGCGGCAGCCACTGGCCAATACATTTTGTGCGCAAAAAAAAAATGTTTACATTTTTTTCAATAAATAAATTTAGTTATATTTATTGTTTTCGTTCGGGTTGCTAAAACAATTCCATGCTAATTAAGGCACAGAAATCAAATGGGGTTTGCCAAATATTTGCATAAAAACCCGTTTAATTGAATTATAAATAAATGGCTTTGTAGTATTTAACTATTGTTATTGGCTTTTGTTTGTGTGTGTGTGTGTGTTTTTTTTAAATATTTGCGCTGAATTTAATTTATGTTAATTGCACGGCCATCCGCAAATTAAATATGAATAAGTGCAATTGCAATTGTCTGATAACATGTCAAAAATGTATAGAAAAACGGCCAAATGGCCAAAATGCGCATATGGACAACGTGGCGTATGTGTCATCTAGTGTTAAGAGCAAACGTGGCAATGTTTATTATTGCTGTTTCTCTCGTTGTTGTTATTATTGTTGTTTTTATTGTCGCCTAACACTTACAGTTCAAATGAATTTCGATGTGCCAGCGAAAACAAAGTCAGCTGGAGAAATGTGTTGCATCGTTCAACATTCATTCGCCGACTGTGTCGCACCTAAGTGCTCTAGGTGTGCATGTGTGCATGTGTGTGTTTGAGTGTTTTTGAGTGTGTGCATTTTAATGCAACTGTGGCTGCCTCACCATCGATTTCTATTGTTTGCGATTTCATTTTTTGCCCATTGCCATTTTTGTTATTTTCTTTTTATAGCCTGAACCCATTGAAAGTAGCCAAAAAGGGTATAATGTTTTTTTGAGCAAATAAATGTATGTATTAGGCAAATGTATATTGTATGTAAATCTATATATTAACACAGCTCCGACCTTATAGAGTATATATTGTCGAATTGGGGACGACGAACCCCGTCTGTCTGTGCGAACGTGTCGATCTCGAAAACTGCACAAGCTAGAGACTTAAAATTTGAAAGTTAACATTTTTGTGGACATCTCTTTCCATTTCTATAAGAGATGGAGAAGATATATAGAAGAGATGGATTAACTGTATGCAGATTATAAATATTTTATTTATCTGGTAGATTCGTGCATTCCCATGTTTGTTCTTATTGGTTCTATGGACTGAAAATGTTTGTTGAAGATCGAACTTGAAGCAAGTCTAGAATGTTGATCTAGAATGTGTAAATATATATAATATATAGAAAGTATGGAATTTATGTGTGTGTATATGTGTGTGTAAATTTGTTCAAAACAAAGCTAGAATGTTTGCAGGTGTTAGTATCTCTTAGTCAGGCACTCCCGATCAGAGCACACTTGTTGTTGTTGTTGTTGGTTTTTTGCTACGTTTTTGTTGCAATTGACATTTAAGTGCAGTTGTTGCTGACAATCAAATTGTGAGTGTGTGTGTGTGTGTGGCATTAAAAATGCATGTTGATTGCAAAGAAAAGCTTCTGTCTTCACAGCCAAACACAAATAATGGAATTCGGGTGTTTGGTTGTACTGACGGATTTGGCTGGCGCATTATTTATGAGCATTTGAACAATTTAAAGTCAGCTGGCACTTAGCCCGCAATAAATTTGAAACATTTGCGGTATGTGTTGAAAGCCAACGACGAGCGGCTAAAAGCAGCCATAAATTCAAGACATGGAACAAGCCGATTACATCTCTGTGAGACACGCTTCTTTAATTTAGGTGCAACCAAACGCAAAGTGTCTAAAATATGAGAGATTCGTGTAGCAGCTGTAGTTTATGCCTAGTTTGCGGTTTGCCTTTCGACTTGTCTAAATAGAATATTGTCGGTGGGGTCCGAATATGGGCCCCATGCCAAAAGATTTTCTGCCTTTTCTCTCAGCCGCAGCTACCCATCTCTTTTCCGACTGTCTGTCCGACAGTCTGGCTGACTGTCTGAATGACGTGTCGTTTATTCCTGTGACTGGCGCATGCATTTGCTGATGCATGGCCAAAAAAAAGAAAGAAAAAAAAAATGATGGCATCTAAAGTGGCAGGGAGGCATCTATAGCACATCTGTGTATGCCCATTAGTTGTAGCTTTTTGTGGCGTCTATTCTTCTATTTTTGTGTAAAATGTGAAAATATCTTTTTATGCATGCACACAAAACTGGAGCGTCTATTTGCTGCTGGCCCATTTTCTCCGCCTGTCTAGTTGTTGTATTTGCTGCATATTCTTATATTTATGTGCCTTTCACTGAAATTCACTACAAGGCAACATCTCCGAATGACTCGACTGCGCCATGCTCTGTTCCTCTGTTCCGTAATAACAGTTGACATGCGAACAGATATCTATCTTAAAACAAGGCATATGCTTGGGTGCATATTCAAAAAACTCATTGGTAATCAAACAAAATATTGGTGCATGTAATCTTGTTATTCCGAGAGACTATAGGGAGACTAAAAAATATATATGTCTAGCGATATGACTGGATCTTTAGAACAATTTTGATCTTTGAAGATCTTTAGCTTGTATATTATCTTTAAAGGCAATAATTATTAAAAAACTTTGATAACTTTGAGGACGTGGAAGTTATGTTATTCGATTTAGGAAAGTTGCGATAATATTTTAGATTTGAATTGGGAAGTAGTTCATAAAATAAAAAAAAAAATGGTATTTTATAACGGCAACAATTTGCATTCGAGTTTAGAAGAAGATCGGACAAAAAATTCATTTGATTTGTGACTCTGAAATATGGCTGAAATATTTTAGCTCGAATTTTTAAGTACTTAGCTAATTCAAGAAAAATTCATTGGATTTTATGTCTATTAAACTTTGACTATAAAAGATTTTGAAATTAATTTACATTTGCGTTTGGAAGATATAAAAAATATTCAATTGGATTTAATGACACTTAAATATTGCAGTAATATTTAAGATTTAAGTATAAGAGAAAAGTGAAATTTGTTGACTTTAATAGATAGAATAACGTACTGCCAGACGGATATACGCCTTTCCCCTAATAGGAACTGAGTATTAAAATGCATTTTCACTGCAACAAAATTGCAGTAGCAGCAGCAGCAGCAGCAGTAGCAGCAGTAGATGCCGCAACCGCAGCGCAGGCAACGAGGCGAAGAACGAGACAAAATAAAATTAATTTGTTGCACAGTATATTTATTTTACAGGCAGCCAATGTCATTTGCTTGACAGTCAGTTTACACTTTGATGACCCCAAATCGAGTGCCAGAAAATGTGCTCTCACATTGTTCACCTGCCCCATTGACATATTGTCGCAGAATATACTTGGTTTCCACACCAAAAAAAAAAAGAAATTGAAAATTTGTGAAATAATATCAAGTTGAATGGCCATTGAGTGTGCATAAAAGATGTTTGCTTAGATGAAATTCGTGTTTGCACAGGGTCGAGGGTCGAGTGTGCGTGTGTGTGTGTGCTTGTGTGCTTGTGTGTGTGTGCAGCAGCTGTGGGGTTCAAGTTTGCAGTTCGAGGGCAGACTTAGAAACGAAACGCAAAAACGCATAAATTGAAATTGAGAGATTCCATCAAATTCACAGCCGTTCATTGCTTTTGAAATGAGCTACAATGTTCGTTACTATTCAACAAATAAATATAATAATAATATAAAGAAAAAGAAATATCGTTTACAAACTGAAAGCATATCTAACGCTTGTAATGCTGATACATGCCATGCCCATAGCCCATGGGTGTGCTGCCCATTGCGCGTTCTGTGGCCTTCTCGATGCTGGCATAGACGCACTTGTAGCAGCACACGTAGGCCAAACATCACTTGAACAGGATGCGCCGAAAGGCGCGTCGGAAGTCCTTGTTGAAGATGGTATAGATGGCCGGATTTAGTGCCGAATTCATATAGCCCAGCCAGAAGGCAATCGCGAACGCCGACTCCGGTATATTGCAATGGCTGCTACACGCCGGCACCAGTATATACAGAAAGAAGAAGGGCAACCAGCAGGCGATGAAGCTGCCCATGATTAGGCCTAAGATTAGTGTGGCGCGTTTCTCCTTTTTGCGTGCAATGCGTCGCTTCTCCTTCTCGGGATCGCGGGGCTTTGGCGTTTTCGGTATGGCCGGTTCGAGTTCGGCTTTGGCCGTTAGCTCCTTGGCCTTGGCCGCAACGGCGGCTGCATTGTTCTTGGCCGCAACGGCGGCTGCCTTGGCCTCGTTGCGGCGCTGCTGATTCGATTTGCGTCCAAAGATGGGCTGGCAAAGGCGAAATTTGAGCGGCTTGACTACCGCACAGCGGCTGACCACGCCCGAATCCGAGCTGGAAGGATCGAATTCACTCACCATGTCCGTATCAATGCCCACGGATAGGGCACGACAGCGTCCGGCAATGGGCGAGACGTGCAGCTCATTGCTGCTCGCCGCACCGCCAGCTGCCCCACTGTTGCTGTTGCTGTTGCTATTGGCTACCGGCTGCGTGGCTCCAACGGCATCTGTGGCCACGCAGCCGTTGTTGTTGTTCAGCACATTGATCGAGTTGTTGCTGCCCATCGAAGGCGGCACGGGCACATTAAGCCCAACGCCGCGGCCCGTTGCAATTGTGCTGACCTGCAGCGTTTCCTTGGGCGAACAGGGCGTCAGGCCATCCAGTGCCGCGGCTGAACTGGAGCCGCCATTGGGATTGGCATAGGCCAGCGCCGCCTGGGCGGCCACGGCCTCCAGCTCGCCCGCCTCCGAGGTGGATATGTCGGAGGCCAGGTCCATGGTGACCGTCGGTATTTGCATGGGCATTGTCGCGCTATTCGGTGGGGTCTCAATGGTGGCTATCTGTCGCTGCTGATGCAGCTGCAGCTGCGCTCCGGCGGCGCTGGAGGATGGCATCGGTATTGTTCCTTTCTTGTTGTTGGCGGTGGTGAAGCTCGTTACCTGCAAAGAGAGGCGCCAATCAGTTGGTACATGCTACATGGCTTTTCCATTTTCCCAAATATTCGATTTTAAGCCACGTTTACAGGCGCGTCAGAGCGCAGCGCGATTACACAAACAAGGGCGTGGCACACACACACGACAAACGTCACGGTAAATGCAGCGCAGGTGTGCACGTGTGTGTGGCAGTGTGTGCAGGTGTGCGTGCGTGAGTGGGTTAATCTCATGCCTGAGCAGCAGCTGCCACAGCCCGGGGCCTTTGCTTGTGCGAATTGTTAGTCAAGTGTCGATGGTTTTTCTCCTCTTTTTTTTTTTCTGTTTGTTTGCCTGGCGTCCAGTTAATTGAAAATGCAAATTGTGCTCGAATTGGCCGCAAATGCTGCTGCTCAGGTCTGTAATTGTGGGTAATTCGGCCAGGTAATTGGCGCTGCGTGGCCAACTGAATATGCTGCAGCCATTAGAGGATTTGTACTCAATCAGCGTAACTTTGCGCGATAATTTGCAGCTTAAATCAAGCAGCAAGTCCTGAGTCCTGGGCTCACTAAGCGACGCCATTTTGCTGCACAAAATGAGCAAATTTGCCAAATGTGGGCGATTGCGAGGGGGCAACTGCTGTGCACAGCCATTATGGCCAACACGTAGCGCACAAATTGGCGAGCAATGCCAGCAGAGCGCGTGAGGCACTTGCCGCACCCGATCCAAGCAGCGCTTTAAATGTCCGCAGCCTTTAAGCTCACAAATATTGCGCATACGCCACATATGCCCGAGCAAAATTGCTGGCCTCAGCTGGCTGGCATCTACTGAACGCGGCGCTCATGTTCATTCAAATGGCAAAATTTGCATTTACAGTGCTTGGACGCAGCACGGCTGTTGCTCAACTTTTCCGGCTGAACTGACCGAAGGAGCAAAGGGATTGGGGGGGAGCAGTTCAAAACGGCAATATGCCAAAGCTATCAGTCGCAGAGCTACAAGAAGACACGTTTGGTACTCACTCACTCACCTGTTCGTTGTTTGTTTTGCGCGGATGTTTTTTAATGCCCCGTCTTGCCCGCGCCTTGGCGGCAAAGTAAATTCGTATGTACACAAAGACCATGATGCAGCTGGGTATATAGAAGGAGCCCAGCGCTGAGTAGAGCACGTAGCCAATGTCCTCGCTTAGCTGCACGCAGAGAGTGTAAGAGAAAGAGAGAGAGAGAGAGAGAGAGAGAGAGCATGAGTTTAGATTGGATTTGTTTTCCGCTGAGATTTATCGCTAGAAATTGCTCAAATCTCAAACAACAATAAATACTCGCTGCACGATTTTCTCAACTTGAGCAGAATTAAGAAATTGATTGCGATTTTTAAGCTTTATATTTAAAATCCAATGAGTTTTTCAAGTTATTCGCCCAATAAATAAACAAAAATAATGTAAAGAGTAAATCAAAAGATTTAATAAATATCAAAAATATATCTGATGTAAGCTATTTGAGACTAAATTTTCAAATAACAATGCCTGCGAGGGCAAGGCTCTCAAACTCATTTTACTCGATTACCAAAACTCGTCTAATTGAAGCTCAATTACTCGGTAACTGGGCAAAATGTATTCACAAGTCAAATATTTGTTTACAATTAATTAATTATCTATTAGAACGAGTAAGAGGTTCTAGTCGGGAGCTCCCAACCAGGGGATACCCTGAACCCTCTTCTTCCAACATCAAATGCATATATATATTCTATTTTAGAAAGTATATGTCAAGTTTGGTGACTCTAGCTCTTATTATTTACCAAAATTGCCCAAAAAACAGGATATCGATATCGATTCTAAGTTAAGTTATCGATTATCGGAAACAAACTCGATCTGCGCAGGCACTAGGAGCACCTACATCTTAAATTTTAAGTCTCTAGCTCTTATAGGTTCTGAGATCCTTGCGTTCATACATACGGACAGACGGACAGACGGACGGACAGACAGACAGACAGACAGACAGACAGACAGACAGACAGACCGACAGACAGACAGACGGACATGGCTAGATCGATTCGGCTATTGGTGCTGATCAAGAATATATATACTTTATGGGGTCGGAGAAGCTTCCTTTTGGCTGTTACATACATTTGGATTTTGCACAAATACAATATACCCTTATACCCGTTTTTAATGGGTTCAGGGTATACAAATAACAAGTAAAAGGCTCTACTCAGGAGTTCTCGACTAGGCGATACCCGTAATCCTCTTCTACCAACAGCAAGATCATTGATCATTAGATCTTATTGTACTATAGAATATTCGTGTACTCTCAGAAAGTCAATTGCGATAAAATTGTAGCCTTTATTGGTGGACAATACAAATTGGTTTATTTACTTCATTTATGGCTATGAGGTAGTATCAGGGAGGTGGTGATAGCTATAAAATAAAAGATACTTGATATATTTATATATCCTATTCTAGAAGCTACATGTTCAGTTTGGTGACTTTAGCTCTTCTAACTTACGAGATTTACTCAAAAAACATGATTTCCATATCGATTCTTATCGATTACTTGGAAACGGGAAAAGTTATCGACTATCGGAAAAAAACTCGTACTGCACACTAGGAGGAGCTACGTTCAAAATTTCTATATCTTATAGGTTCTGAGATCCTTGTGTTCATACATACGGACAGACGAACGGACAGACAAACATGGCTAGATCGACTCGGCTATTGATGCTAATCAAGAATATATATATACTTTATGGGGCCGGAGATGCCTCCGTCTGCCTGTTACCTGTTAACCACGCGCCGTGCAACTCTCACATAGATTCTAGCCTTTATCTTTAACTCGGTGCCTCCAGCTCTCAAAAAGGCTCTTATTATGGTTAAAGGCTGATTATTTTTTTAGTTCTTTAGTTCCGTCAAGTAGGTAAATATATAAAAATGCAAATTAGCAAATTTTGCTTAAATGTTAAGCAGCAGCACATTTGAGAAATTACCAAATTTTGTTGTAAGGCAGATTCTTTGCTATGGCCGAATTGCTTGAGTTCTGTGAGTCGAGCGATTTGCTGTCAGTTGATTGCATTTAGGGACTCAAATTGAACGCAACATTGACTGACTGGCGCTTGACTGCTGGCAGTCACTGTGTGAGCCTTTCATCCACTTACTTAGTTTGCCACTACTTGAAGCCTGATGCCTGATGCCTGGTGCCTTTGGCATTAAAGCAAGTACGTACTCATAGTTATTGAGTGCATTAGACTGATTTACTATAGAAATGCATTTACGGCTGCGACTGTAGAAAATGCTTTGTCAGTTGTTGCCGTGAAAAATGGGCGAAAGAAAATGCAAAGTGCACGATTTGCACGGCAAAATCTCATAACGCTAAATGAACTAAAAATATTAAATTACAGCACACACAAAAGCTTGCGCAGTGCAATATCTCTGAGCCAGTCTAGCGTAGCGAATCGGATAGACTGAGGGGTAGATTGCGGATTGTGAACCATTTTTTAGCCGCTTGCATTTCATTTATTTAAAGCTGGCGGAATTAAATAGCATCACGGTTTTTGATCTCCGGCCAGATGGATGCTGCTGCTGCTGCTGTTGCTGCTGCTGTTGCTGCAGCTTGTGGCAGACTCTTCACAAAATTATGCAAATTAAGTGTTTTGATGAAAGGCATACAAAAAGTGCACTTGATGCGGCCGAGAGATTGCACAAGTGCACCCACCCCAAGCTGCACGAATGCCCTTTTAGCTATTGTTATTGTTAATATTGTTGCCGTTGTTGTTGTTGTTGTTGTTGCTGTTGTTGTTGCTGTTGTTGTTGTTGTTGTTGTTGTGTGGTTGTTGCTGCTGTTCGCACATCATGAAAAGCTCTTCTAGCTGCTGTTGTTGGCATCAACACAGCCTCATAAAAGCCCGCTGCTTAGACTCTACACCAAGTTTTTCACTAAACAATTATTATGTAAAAAAAAATATATATATTTTTGCACCATATCAGCGTAAGCAAAAGTAAATTTATTTAACTTGTAAGCCGCTTACTGCTGCGGCTGACACACAAAATTGAATTTTTGAGCGTCAAGCAAAAATTTGTTGCATTCGCCCCTGGCCTGCACAGATTGTCGAGCCGGCGGCTCAAGTGCAGCTCGGCAGCTTATCATAAGCCGCAGAAGCAGCGACTGGGCTGCCATATAAACTTCAGCCGGGCAAAATAAATTGCAGTGCAACATCCTCTCGACTGGCGTCTTGCAGCCAGCACAAGATGCCGCAACAAAATAAGCATAAAGTATAGAGTATAGGGCTGCCAAAATATACATCTAAACGACAAGGACGGGTAGCACGTATATACTTGCCTTCCAAGTGGCAGGCAGTGTGGCAGGGGCCGACAGCCATTTAAGCGGGCTGCCTCAGAGCTGCAGCTTGTTGCAAGTGCCCGCTGCAACAGCAGCATAAAAAATCGTCCCATCATTTACGGTTTACTGTTGATATATTGACAGCATTTGTCAGCGCCGCCCACAGCTAAGTTAAGCCACCTGAAGTTGTCGCGGCATAAACCAAAATTTAAGCTGCAGTTCAAGTTTTCCTGGCTGCGGAGCACTTAAAGTATCATTTTCTTTCATAAGTTGCCCTTTTGCCGGCTCGTAAATGAGCCAAAAACTTTAGCATAGGCATAAAAGTTACGCATACGCCAAGTTTGCCGAACTACCCGGGCACGTAATCTTAACACCTGCCTCTGTGTGTGTGTGTGTGTGCGTGCTTTCACATATGATTATCTGGCTTGGTGAAATGTTTTACTAACGCATTTGGACAAAGCTACTTTGGCAACTGGAAACTGGCAGCTTGTAAGTTGCAACAGGCGAACTGCGTTAAGAGCTTGGAGCTTAAAATAAATTGTCAACGTTGCGTGTTGCCAACTTCTGTCAAACGGATTTAATGTAATTGAAAAGTTTTGCTTTCTGCATTTGCAGCTGCCCATTTGCGCCCTTTGCCAATTTCCGCCCGTGCTCTCATTCAATTTCTTTTGCGCTGCATTTGCGCTAATTTGCAGATTTTCAAATTGCGCTGAGCTCCTTTGTTTATTTAAAAGTTCTTTGCGCCTCTCACCGTGTGCCTCAACTGTGCTGCAAAAAGTGAAAAGATGCGAAAAGAAAAATAATTATTCTGCAATTTTTAATTAAATGGCAATGGAAATTGTTGCCGCTGTTGTGTCTTCATCCTGTGAGCTTAAGCTGCTGGTAACAAAAACTCATTATGGGCGACCAAAATCGGCGGTAAAAACCAAATACTGTTGATGAGCCAAGCCGGAGCCAACTGCCAAGCAAGGATGACGACGCCAAGTGGAAAATGTTCAGTGTAAAGTGCGCACAATTTATTGAAATGTAAACATGAAACAGCACACAGAAATGACTGTAATTAAAAGATACAAAAAATCATAAAAATTTTGTCCAGCCAGCAAAATGCTGCAGCATCCACCGCCCGTTCCACGTTCCACATGGCGTATGAATAATGCTTAAGGTCTAGAGTCCGCACTTTTTAAAACAAATCAACTATGTGTGCATTCAAAGCAAGTACAACAAAAATGTATAAATACTTGTGTGTGTGTGTGTGCTTGTGTAAGCCAAAAATTCTGTTGTAAGCACAAAAGAATTTCAATCCGAATCGTTGCTGAAAGTTTTGCACAAAAATGCTAGCGCAAAGCAACAAAAGAAGCACAAGTGAAAGTGCTCGAGACGAGTGTGACCGACTAGTAGATACCCTGCACACATCAAGCAGTTGCTGCTAGTTGTAGTTTGCTTCTTAATACACCTGCCCACAGGTGTGCTTCTTCTTCCCTCAGGTCTATATACTTCTGTTAATGCCTTACGTATGCAGAGTCCGATCGTTGTGAAATTGCCAGAGCTTAAGTATGGCAACAAAATGTGGCTATTATTCTAGATTTTAGAGAATTAGCCGGAATTGTACAGAAAGGTGAAATTTATTGATCTTGATGCTTAAGAAATCTAGTTTCGAAATCGGTTATTATAGAATTTGTGGAACAGACAGCCTTGGTAGATCGAGTCAGTAGGCCGTATTGAACAATAATATGTACACGTTATGGGACCGTAAATGACTTCTTCTGTCTGTTACGTACACTGGCACAAAGCCATCACAGCCCTTTTAACCGATGTCAATAGATACAGGGTATATAAAAAAAAGAAGAAAAGTGGACCAAGT